AGTGATGATCAAGTCTAAAATATGTCCCTGTTTGTGTGTTGGTTGTTTAACATATTGAGTTAAACCAAAGTTTCCAAGTATGTCATACAGTTCTTTTGCTCTTCTGTCTTCAGGGTTGTCAACGTGAAAAATTAAAGTCTCCCACAATAATTAAACAGTCATAATCAACGAGATAGGGTAAGGAGCTCAGTCATCTGAGGAGGACTCAGAGTAGCCGCTGCTCCTCCATGCCAAAAGGAGCCAGTTGAGTTGGCTTGGGCATCTTGTTAGGATGCCTACTGGATGCCTCAATGGTGAGAGAGATCCAAGAAATGCTGTAAGGACTTTTGGCCGGTTTGTCGGAAGCATCTTGTTTAGTGCTAGTAGGTTCCCAATGGGAAATTGGTGACTTAGCCAAACATGGTGACAGCGGTCGGAAACATGTAAGTGGAGGAGAGTTTTGTGTCGGAGGTCGTGGATGAGTCTCCTCCTTCATAAATTTTTTGTTTAGAGGAATGAATGGATGGACGAAGTTGTTGTGGAAGAAGATGCCAGGGCGGCAGAAGCTTGGTTTGGTGTAGAAGGCTTACAGCCGTACATGTTTGAGCCCTTGCCTCGCAACGCTGCCAGTTCTGTTAGCTCTACGCCTGCTGAAGACACAGACGTCCATCCCCGTGAACACTGGGACGGAAATCAATGGGAAAGTTAATAATGATTCTTAATTCTTATTTCAATTGATGTGTATATTAGCAGCAACATATGAATCAAGATGCTATGACCCAAAAAATTTCGATCATAGTATTAAGCTGATGAAGATTCTCACTCATGCAGGTCATAGTCATTCCGAAAAAGTTTAAAAAAACAATCCACTGGAGTTGGTTTCCAAGGCGAAACGTTTCAAACCTTGGAAACCAAGTCCAGTGGATTATTTTTTAAACTTTTACAGAATCATAGCATTAAATAACAAAAAAAAAAAAAAACACAGATTTTTAGACAGGATTTTTTTTTATATAAATGTTCTAAATTTGGAGAAAAATTGTCTGATAAAGAGTACATTTATATCCATGTTTAAGCCAGAAATATTTGACATTTAAATATGACTTCCCTACGACTTTAAAGGTACATTTGTTTTTTTATGGGACATTTTTTAATTAAAATTTTTATTTATCAATTTAATTTGTAATCTTCCAGACCCTACACCCAGAGCAGAGTGAAAATGATTCATTTCAATCATATTTCTTTAAAAATCCAAACAAAATCATATTTCATATTTCTTTGGTGTTTCTGTTTGTCTGTTTTCACTCACTTTTATTTATTCTCAGTTTCACCACCAATAGTTTCTTGTTTTTAGATTTTTGAGTTGTTCACTTTGATTATATGGAGAGATCTCTGTAAAGATTGACTAAATGATTGATCTGTAATTATATGATTCAGTAGAATAAACTTTAAAATGCATTGATTGACATGTGAACCTTGTTTTCATTATTTTGAAAAACTCAAATTGAATCCTTTAAACATGCAAGTATGACAGTATTAGGATGTGTCTGATGTAAAGCACATCATGTGAACCAACATGTCACATAAAATAAGTTCTTTGTTTTAAGATCTAAGAGGAACAGAGAGATGTCCTTGTTGTAAATAGCAACATTTGCTCATCAGTTCTCGTTTCTAGAATTAAAACAAATAATTTCTGAAATGCCATGTTCCGTAGACCACTGTTCTAATTGTTGTGTTGTGAAACTCACAAGAACCAGTAAAGGATGCGTCGCTGGAAGCTCAGAGAGATGGAGGAGTTCTGCACATCGAACAACAAACCTACGTCAGGGATGAATTGCAGGTCAACGTGCCTCAGATTCAGTTCTGTGATCTTTACACTGTGGAAAAGGGCAACAAAATGTTTTAACGGCCGCCAGAAGCCCTGTACGACAGTGGTCCTTTCAGGATGAAGCCTTACTCAGTGATGGTGTACTGGAAACGTCCTTCTGTCCCCTTCATCTCCGGAAAACTGATGTTGGTGAGTTCGTCTTCAACCAGCTTCTGAGTCTCAAACTTAACTAAAAAAACACACACAGTTACACTCATGTCGTTTCACACTATCCTGATGGGGACTTTCAATTGATTTCTATTGCATTCATTTCTATTGCCTAACTCTGACCCTTACCAACACATTCCTAACCCTAACCTGACCTAAGCTCCATTCACACCTTAGTGTGAACCTAAAGAAGACAACTTCTCCTCATGGAGAGCAGTCATTGGTTCCAAAAGCAGTGAGAAGTCCTGGAGGTGAACCATATTTCTAGGAAATTGTTCCCACCAGGTAAAAAAACACATAGCAACATCGCTTTATCTCTTTTTACACTGTTTTAGTCTGTGACACACTGTGACACAAAGTTAGATACTGTTAGTTCGGCCTGATTGGGTGAGGTTAGGCCACAACATGAAAGGTTATTTATCATCATTAGTCCTCAATAAGCCACAAAACCCAGGGATGGTATTTTTCTTCATGATGTATTTGCAGAGTAAAACATTTAAATTAATCCATTTTGATGCTCTGTTTGTCCCACTTCTATCAGGAAGAAAAAAATGTTTCCTTGATGTGAGAGCAATCATCTCAGTGTGGTCAGACACTCACATCCCATCTCACCTTTACATGGGGAAAAAAAACACACAGCCCTCTTTGGACACATGACCACCCCTGCTGACAGCAAATAGACCCCCAGCTCATTTCATTGCCTTTTCAGTCCCTACATTTTATATTTCTTTATTTCCATGCACAAATTTTCCTGCAAAGATGTTTATTACTTCTAAAGATGACGTATATATCTTTCTTTGAAGAGTTTAAAAAGTGTTTATATGTATTATTTTGTGGTTGTTTATATTTTATTTTTCTTTACCACAAGATTCTTGAAAGGGAGAAACGGCTGGGTATAACCGGGGAGGGAAATTAACAAGAGGGAAACTACGTAAAAATATCCACACTGTACTATTTAGAGTAAATTTTTAAAATTACAATAATTCACCTCTAAACCTTATTTAAACAGGGAAGCACTGTGCTTATAGAAGGCAATTCGAACCAAAGCCTTAACAATAATTTCACGTATATGGGGAAAATGGAGTAATCATTTTTTACTATTATTATTATTATTATTATTATTATGATCCAGTGGAAAAGTGGGTAGCACTGCTGCCATGCACCAAGAAGGTTACGGGTTCAAATCCCGGCCCAGGGTCTTTCTGCCTGGAGTTTACATCTTCTCCTTGAACATGCATGGGTTCTCTCCGGGTACTCCGGCTTCCTCCCACAGTCCAAAAAAAATGACTGTAGGTTAATTGTCTGTTCTAAATTCTGGCTTAATAAATGAAAGTTTATTTTTCCAGTTTGTCTCTGTGTTGCACTGCGATATAACAGCGACCTGTCCAGGGTCTAAGCCGCCTCTCACCCGTAGACAACTGGAGATAGGCACCAGCACCCCTAGTGAAGCCCCTTGTGATAAAGTGTGACAGAAAATGGATGGATGATCCAGTTTTCTTTCAAAAGACATTATAGGATATTTCCTAAAAATGAGCTGAGAGGTAGTTTTTTAATTTGCATCCAGTTATACATTATGTATGTATCAGATATTTTTTTATGTTTTAACTTTTTATTTTAAGCACTTTGGAGCACCGTAATGTTCCGACATTGTTGCTGCAAGCGTTGGAAACAGGTTTCACAACACCAACATACATTTACACATCAGCTTTAAACTCTGTTACTCTGTTTTCTGAGACCTAATGTCCAAATACTTACACATATCTAAGGCTTTGTCGGTGATCCTGATCTTACAGCCAGCAGGTTCAGCAGCCGCCATGATGAACACCAAAGACGACAGGATAAGGACGGGCAACAGGGGGGAAGTCATTGTTACCTGAAATTTAAAAAAATAAAGACTTACAAAATGCGGGTGAGATGGGTTTTATCTCCCTATGGGTTACTGTTGCAGTGGTTCGTTTTTGGTAGTTTGATCACTGGTTCTAGTTTTAATCAAGATTCTGTGTGAAGTTTCTGTTTTCTGACTTGATCAAATAAAAAGCTAAATCTTGCTGCTTTATTGAAGGACTATGACCACAGTGATTTGTGTGTAAGGCTCCAGATGTTGGCATGGTAACATGCCATGTTGAAACTTTAACTGCAGTGCCTCATAGCCATGGATTACAGACATGAATGCCACAAAAACTCTTAAACAGGGATCATGACAGGGTTCATTTTTTGGCTGAAGCAATTGTCCACAAAATGTTGTGCAGCTTCCTGCTTGTCAATAACTGTAAAAACTAGAATAGACTGGTGCTGTGCAGCTCCTTTAGCTGCAGGGATGGTGAACCTTTCTATTTGTTCACATGGGTCTTACTGTTAGGGCAAAAACCTCTGGGCATGTAGGTGTATGTTGGTTCTGCAGATTTTTGCTGATGGAGTCAGGTTTACCTGTTTGGTATTTACATGTTAGCTGAATCTGAAATACTTCAAGAGGATTTCTTGTTAGAAAGCGTAAAGATGATTTCAGCAAAAGCCTTCACAGAGAAATAAATGAATCTCCAGGTTCTGATGCTGAAGGAAGGATTGAGATGGATAGAGTTGAATTAAGAGGAAACTGCCAGAGCAGCTCATGCTGCCTCACTCTCTCCTGAAAGGGATCTGTTGAAATCAGGTCAGGGGACAGATGGGGGTGAGAGTTTGCTGGTGTTGTGAAACCGAGGTTACTAAAGTTCATTTTGGGCTTTCTATGAAACAGACGTCACACAGAGGGATGTTTTCAGATGCAGCTTTCTGTTCACACAGCTGTGAAGTAGCACGGACAGCTGAGCTGACGTCTCCATCAATGATCAGACAAAAATAAACAGAGACAAGTCCACAAAGACAGGAGAAAAACAGGAAGCCTGTGAGTCACAGCTCAGGGTCTGCCTCCCACACATATTCTGCCCATTGAACTCCTACCCAGTGTTCCAGCTCCACACTGACCCTGAAGACCAAATCCAGGGCACATTTTACCCAGCAGCAGATGTTGAAAACCTTTAATCAGCAGCTCAGATCCTTCAGTCTATAATCAGACCAGTTTATTAAAGAGCCAATCAGGATCCAGCTGCTGCAGCCACATGACCACAGGCACTTCAGTGGAGCCCGAAATGTCCCCCTGTATCTCTCATTTTAAGCCTGATTCTGATGATTTTGTTTCTTGATTTAAGAAACAAAATCATCATTATTCCTCTTTTTTAAAAACACACTTGCACATTTTTATGCAATATAAGTTTACATTTAAAATGTAAGAAGAATGAGAGAAAAGTGAAATCAAAGTCAAATCCCTTGTTTGCATGATTTATTAGATTTCTCTGACTGATGCTAAGCTTGGGCTTTTCATCCAAACTGAACTCTATCTCATGATTAACAATCCAGAACCTTCTTTTTTTTAATAAAAGAAAAACAGAACATCTTTGTCTAGTTTAAAGTACAGGAGGAGATGCATGAGAAGTTAGGCTGAAAACATGAAGATCTGACCCAGAAAGTCAAGAAATAACCTGGAACCCTTTGATCTCTGAAGTATCAGAAGCTGTTCTGTAAAACACTCACCTCCTCATAGTTAAAGCCTGTTAATCTGTCTGACCATCTGTATCTGGATCCATCTGTCTGCTGCTGAACTTTCATCTGAATGTCTGGAGATGAAACTCACCGATCAGCTGCAGAAGGAGGAGTTCTGACCAGACGTGTTCTGGTTGGTTCTGGCGTCTCTGGATGGTTGATTCTCCTCTGCTCACTTGGGTCAGTCTGAGCGCCTGATCCTCTGTGCAGAGTTTTTATCCCCAGGGACTGACTCCTCCTCCTCCGGCTCTGAGGGCTTCTCTTTCTGCATCCTGGATGAAGCTCGGAAAAGCTGCTGAGTCCAGAGAGAAGAAAAACTGAAAGTCTACTGCAGAGGGCAGGAGAACAATATGAATCCCCCCATTGGTAAAGATTAGAGCCTTTGTGTGATTGCACTTTAACATATCTCATTTTTTTTTTTAGAATATGTTTTGTTTTATGGCAGAAATGCATATGTTTTATTGTAGCAATATAATCTTACATAAAAATCTGTAAAATGCTTTTATTTTGAAAAAATGTTTTAAGTTAGGAAAATCCCTGTCTAAAAGAACTGTTTGCCTTTAAATTGATTTTTTTCTGTTGATAAACTGTACAGATAGATGTCATATAGTGCTGTCAACATGAGGCAGGGATTCATTTACTGCACATTTGTTGAAATTCTGTTTTTGTGTCTAAAATCGCCTGTTTGTGCCCTCCTCGGGTCCCTGCATCTGGGATATGATGTAATTCAGGAGAAGTGACCTCCATTTCATCTGTCTCTGAATATGTTGGAGAAAGATCTAATCCCTCTGTTGCAAAACTATCATCATTGGGAATGGTCTGCGTACCATGCATGTTGTGTTGCTGTAAAATGCCAGTTTGCTGCTGTCAATCATAGCTGGGACCTGGCAATACTTCAGCAACTTTTACCCACAAACATTTCTCCACTGAAACATTTCCTCCTGTTGCAGGAAATGTTACTGTGTGTCAATTAAACCTTGATAAGTTCTGTTTGGTTCCTTTTGTGATCATTGATTAATTACTCCAGTTGCAGATAGTGTGCATGATCAGGTGACCCTTCGGTTTTTAAGGTCTACAAAAGGTCTGCAAGGTCTACACTGAACTGTGCAGAAACCCTCTACCGTCTAGATAAGATGGATGAGGTTGAGCGGGTCGGGATGGACCAAAGATGGACCAAATCAGCAGCGATTTACACCTGAGGGAGCAGATCCAGCATCAGGAAACTAAGAAAGGCTTTGTTTTGTTTTGTTTTATTTCAGTTTCAAGGGAGATCAAAACATTTATTTCCATACAGAACCATCATAGAAAGGTCCTAAAACTGTTGAGAGAAACATGGTTCTGATTCTGTTGAAGATTCACTTCAGAACCATGAAGAGACGCAGAAGTAGAACTGAGGGATTGATAAACTGATTTTGGATCAATGAATGGAGCAAAAGTTCAGAACTTCACAGCCATGATCCCCATCAGAAATCTAGGTAACAACTCTTCCAGGTTTGCAGGACAAATCCTGAACTGACCACCAAACAATGAAGTGATATATACAGTAGACGGTCCTGATAACAGAGCGATTCATCAGCATGTCATCATGGTCTACATAAACCTGTTCATTACCTATTCCTAAAAACTCCAACATGAAGGGCATAGAAAGTACTCCTGGATGAGAGTCTTTCTGTTTTTTATTGTCTTCTCTAAAACCACAACTTTCACAGCACTCGTTTCTTGCAGCAGTTTCTCTTTGATCTTCTGAGATCAAAGTTAAAATGAGATGAGTTGATCAGGTAATTTCTGTCTACCCAGACTGTAGAAACGCTTACTGCTTCATATCAGCGCTTCTAAGAGCAAAGAAACTTTTAATGTAATTTAAATTAAATGTATTATTATTATTAAATTTAAGCTAATTCCTTATCCATGATTATGAGAAACTTATTTTTTTTTATTTAACCTTTATTTAACCAGGAAAAAAATCCCATTGAGATTAAAAACCTCTTTTTCAAGGGTGTCCTGGCCAAGAGGCAGCAAAGTTACATAAAAAACATAGATACATTAAAATAAATGACAGGTACATTTAAAAAAAAAGTATTTAAAAAAACATATCAAGTAAAGCAATTACATATCGTTGAGGCCGCTTCAAATTCTTTCACTTTCAACTTAAAAGCATTTAAAGATAAAAACTCAGTCAATTTCCATTTTCTTTGTAAAAAAAAATTTAAAAATTCCACGCATAAGGAGCTGCGTAGCTAAAGGGTTTCTTCCCCAGTTCTGTGCAGGTAAAAGGAACAGTGAGCAACAGCTGATCGTTGGATCTCAGGGCATAAGAGGCCATGCTTTTCTGTGTAAGTAAGGTACAAATGTAAGAGGGCAGTAATACAAGATGGGCCTTGTAAATAAAATAAAAAAAAGGACACTGCCTTCTCATAGAGAGGGAAGGACCTCCCACCTGAGAGTAAAGGTCACAGTGATGTCATGGCTCTACAGTTTGTGATTAACCTTAATGAAGCATAACATCCAACATTTGAAGACATGAAGAAGTAGCATTCTTATAAAAAAGGCCACCATAATCTAAGACTGATAAAAAACTTCTTGCAATCTTAACTCTTAGGTGTTTTTCATTTTCATTCCGTTGTTAAATAACTTTGTTTTATTGTGAAATAAATCTGAAATACTGTAGACATGCTTAGTCAGCTGACTAATCATTCTTGCTAAACCTGGTTCTGGTTCTGCTGGAGATCCCTTCCCGTTAAACGGGAATTTTTATCTCCACTGTCGCCTAATGCATGCTCAATATGAGGAATTGTTGCAAAGTTACATACTTAATGTATATTTGTGTGTGGGGTTTTTTCTTTCAAAAGAAGACCTGTGTTGGAGTAATAAGAAAATATTTTTTTGGTGTAATAAATGAAATACTTGCCTTTACCTCACACCTCCCTCTCTTCACGGGGATCAAGTAGTACACCAAAGAAAATGATTTTTAACGAGGATTATATTTTCTAACTTAATTGTCAATAATAATTTTGTAGAACTCAGTCTGCGGTTTATATTCATTTTTTTTACTTGTGGTACTTTGGTGTTGTTTACTTTTAGGGATAACTTTTAAAATCCCAAGTCCTAAATGGATGTAGTGGTGGCCTTTTTGGAGCAACAGAGAACAGTAGTGGCCACAAGTTGGAAACAAACTCATTCAGCTCAGAAATGATTTCACTTTGACTTCCCAGCTCTCAGCTATTCAATCTCATTACCTGCTTTGATGAAGCTTGAAAACTTTCATTCTTATTTTATATTTTTAATTCTCTTTATATCTAACAAGTTTATCACTTGATAAATATATAGTGAGACACTGAACCAAAGAGCAATTTACAGCCACGGAAACAGCAGATATAACAGATGAAAATGTTGCCTTATGTGCATAAAACTATTTTAAGAATAGTTTTAAAAGCTATTTTTTAACCTTTAAGGTAAAGAAAAAAAAACTTGACTTGACTTTGTCTTTTTACTGCAGTCTTTATTACACAGGTATCGGTACTTTTACTTAAGTACAGAATATGAGTACTTTTGACAACCCTGTGTGTCAATGTATGGAAATAAATTCATACCTGGGTTGTCTCATAGTCTTTAAAATACATCCTGTAACCTGGAAAGGGATCAAATATTGACCAAAAACAGAATATTTAACAAATAATATTACTTTGTTTGCCAAATTCTACCTTTTCACAAAATGTTTTTTTCTTTTTGTAAGTCTTTGTAAAATATTTAATGCAGCCCCTGTAATGAAACCTTTCTTTCATATCAGAATTAATATTGCAGGTGTTGACGTTAAGCATTTTTACCACTTGCCCTTCAGGCAAGTGACTTTCACATTTCGTTTGCCCAGAAACAATGTATATATCAATGAAGCATGTTTGTTTTTTAAATGTTTATGTAATTCAGTATTTTTTAATTTTACAGGTTCCTGGTGTATATATGCATGCATCAGATAATGAACTCAAGCCTACATTACCGCGTTAACATGCCAAGGCCCTCCGCAGCAGCAGAGGGCGCTAAAAACGCATCACTAGCTAAACCGGAAACACGCCTTTTGTCTTCCGTCTTCCGTAAACACGTGCAAGTTTCCAGGCGATAACAGAATCCCTTGCGAACCTCGTAGATCTAGAAACGTTGGTCGCATCGCGTTTGTCTAATCATGTTGGAGCAACTGGGTCTGATCGGAACCATTCGGGACGATGACCTGAGCCCAGAAGAACCGGACACCGAATCCGAACCGGAGGTAAGTTCAGAACCAGCAGCAGAAACACAGGTTAAACGGACTGTCCGGTTCTGGTACTGTGCTGCAATCTGCAGGCACAGACCGGTTTTCAGCAAAAGAAGAGGACATTAAAATTAGTTTAGTTCAAGGGAGTCAGGAAATACCAGTGCTGATGAAACTAGGACTTCTGGTGTGGCTGAACTTAAGGAAGCTACCAGTCTGGGGCTGACTGGACTCCAGATCCCTGCTTCTGGTTCTGTTGTCAGATCAGCCTCCAGCAGTTTGAGCATCTCTGTGGACAAACTGGACCAGAACCGATTCCTGTTAGGACCAGCAGAGGTTCATCTTTACACCTAAACAAACCAACAGCTCTCTAGTGGATTGGTTCTGCTTATATCACCCTGGCTTTCCACAGCTGAGTAACCAGCCTGATCCAAAGGTCTGGATTCTGATTCCCACCTGAACAACACTTGATCATGTGAGAAATCAGAACCAGTGTTCTGTCAGAACTCTTTATAATGGTTTAAAGCTGAGGTCTTCAACAGGGGGCCGTGGTGCTGCATGGGGGTCACAAAAGTTTTGGTTGATTTGACTTTTTTATATATATATTTCCCTCCTGCAATTTTTTCCACTAATGTCTTTAAATCTACACTAACATGAATTCAACACACTGTAGTAAACAGATAAATGAAAGCAGAAGATGTCTTTCAGTCATCAATGCACACATTCAGCGACACACAGGAGCTCTTTCTAGCTGGGCACCGTTTCATTCACAACACCTGTCCCATCAACTAGGAATCAGAATCAGAAATACTTGAATAATCCCTGGGAGGAATGACTTTGGTTATATTACTCCATCTGTAATAGAGTGACTATAGGGCCAGTCTGATATAACACAATTTCATACAATGTATATAAATAAGGGGTCCCTGCTCCATCTCACCATCAGTTTGGGGGTCCTGGCCCTGAAAACGTTAAAGACCCCT